GAGAGAGAGAGAGAGAGAGAGAGAGAGAGAGAGAGAGAGAGAGAGAGAGAGAGAGAGGATTCCTTTCTTCGTATTCTTCCTTTCTCTTTCCTGTCCTCTATCACCCAGGTGGGGGGGAAGAGGGCGGGAAACAGTTGTGATTCAGGCTTTCAGCCAATGGGGTGCCGCCATCGGTTGTAATGTACAACTACGAGAATGCCCTCTCCTCTCCGTGAAGCACAGATCCTCGGGCTCCAAGTAGACCTCACGAGCTCCCTTGGAGACGAGGACGAAATGGCTGGGAAATCCTCGGAGCCCAAGGATTTGTCCTCGGAGTCGTTTGGATTTCAAATTTCATCTCCGAGGACAGGTGTAACAACGACGAAATCCTTGGAATCGCGTCCCCGAGGAGTGTGTAAGGATGCCCAAAGTCACCCTTTGTTCCCCCACCCCGTCATCACAGCAATTTCGTGTAGTCAGTTCTTACTGTTTCAAAACCCAATTTTACCCTCTACGCCTCTATATTATTGTATATATATGTGTGTTACTGTGTATATTTATTTACATTCTCTACCTCTGATTCTTATATATATGCAATACAGGGTTGCACCCCTGCCGACCGCCGACCCCCACCGCCGACCATATTGCAGCCGACCAGTAGGGCCGACCGTCGGCGGTCTGTTGACCAGTCAGAGAACAACTATCCACTGATTTTTTTTCAAATCTGAGTTGGGGGCTGTGCTGCGTTTGCTGAGTACAGCCCCAATCCGCTGAGAAACTTCTGGGGATGGGGGGGTTGCGGTTGGATTATAGAGGGGGTATAGGGGGGGTATAGGGGGGTATAGGGGGGTATAGGGGGTATTGGGGGGGCGGTGTAGGGTTTTGGGGGGGTATTGGGGGCCACTATGGGGGTGTTGGTGGTGTTATTGGGGGTTCTGGACCCCCCCCAAAAAAACAAAAAAAAAAAACTTAGGTGCCGACCAGTCAAGGGCCGCCGACCGTTGGCGGGTCCAACACTGCCCTTTTATCTGAGTTTGGGGCTGTACTGCACTTGCTGAGTACAGCCCAAATCCGCTGCGATACTTGTCTTGGGAAAGGGGGTTGGGGAGGGTGGGGCCGGCGGAGCCTGGGGAGCCGGGTAAGGGAGGTATGGTGAGGGCAGGGTCA